GCAGAAAATTGGTATTTCCTTTAAACTGTAAAATAGCAAAAGCCTCTAAGTGCCATTTGAAATTTTCTTCTAAAATGAGCATTTTTATCAGGCTCCTATGTGTAGGTTCAGTAATTTCACTTTAATGGCAATGCATAGGTTCTTTTCATTGACATTAAAGTGAAATAACTGAACATAAACACAGGAGCCTGAGAAAAATGATCATTTTAGAAGAAAATTTCAAATGGCACTTAGAGGCTTTTGCATCTGCACTCTTCATTTGTTGTTCTGCCTTTATCCTGATATCCTGATTTAAAAATGACTATATTAGTAATGAGATTCACCATTGACAATTATGAGAATTACCAAAAAAACAAACAAAAACTCAAGTTGCCTTGACACATTAAACATGAGAGTTTTGGTGGAAATATGATTTATGAAGATGCAAAGAATCTTAATGGTCCTAGAATGTTTAAAGCCCATTTCTGCAACATAAAATAGTAATACTTTGGTAAATCATAATTATTGGATAAGTTGAAATGTAATGTCAAAATTATACAATTAATGTCATAAGGTCAACTTATTTCAAATTCAAAGTTGACATTGTAAGTCATTATGAGAAAAAGATTTGTCATAATTAAGACTTTTTATCTCAGAATTAGGACTTTAGTATATCATACAAAGTCAAAAATGAGATACTAAGTCATTGTCAAAGTTCTATTTTGTCATAATTGTGTTTTGTCAATCTCAATTATGACATTGTATCTCATAATTTAGTTTTTTTTTATTACACTAAGTCATAGTTTTGACAGTCAAAATTATGAGATACTAAGTCATATTTGAGATAAAAAGTCAAAATGATGATCTCATAATGATCATATAATTAATATCTCATGATGTTGATGTTTTATCAAAGAAGTTTCACTAAAGCTTAGGTGGCAGAAATGAGATTCTATTAAAAATATGAACTGGACATGTTGTGAGATTCATCCTACCTCTAACTTCCATCTCTCTAGATTTTCACAAATGTAGTTTTTCCTCATAAAACTAAGCTGATTCGGCGAAGTTAGCCATTCGTACCATAGAGAAACAAACACAATACGATTCAAAAAGACATAACCATCCTTTGTCTCGTATTTTTCTAAGATGTGTTTGCATGAGTGAATACGTGACAGCCATGTTTTTTCTTTGGTTAAGAGACTTGCTGACTTTAGCAGAGGTCACTGCGGCATCATAGCAGGTTTTCAGTTCCGATTTGCTCTGAAATGCTGTAAGATCATGTGACATTCTAGTGCTGGTTTCCATGGATGCGATTCTAGAGATGCTTCAGAAGCTCTGCGTTTGGGATCAGTGTTGTGGAATCCTCGCTAATGATTTATGCGGTAGATGGCGCAAACATTGGCTTCTGTCATATAATTAACAGCCAGTGAGATGTCAACTTTACTGCTATTTGCATATCACCAATCTATTCAAAATAAATAGGCTGGTGTTTCCAGATACTACATGTAAGTTTGCCAGACGTCACATCTATTTGTCTTTGCTCTTTGTGGATCTTCAGAGTGGCTTGGCCAGGGGTTCAGACTAGAGACCTGCGCGGGACGGATTTTTCAGTCCCGCTCCCGCAAGATTCTGTCCCCCGCCCGCCCGCTCCCGCAGAAATATATCTTATCTAGTCCCGCTACCGCCCGCGACATTCATGTTTTGTCCCGCTCCCGCCCGCATAAAAGTAATCTATATAGACTTTTTCAGTACATCGAAGAAATTTACATGAAATGGTTCTGTAACATCTCCTAAGCTCCACAACATCCCAGCATAAACACTCCCGATAAAATATTTGTTATTTAGACTAAGCATCAACATTAACAAACCACTGTTATTTTTAACAGAAAAGCAAGCATGGGCTGCTGCGTGCATGGTTTGGCATGGCAGAATGCGAGCAGCGCTTCCTTTATTATCACTAAAAGCTGACATCTCAGTTAATCTCTATCTCATAAAGCTCTGTTATAACACAATAAATGTATGCACAATGAATCTTTCACAATGTCTACACTTCATGTGTTAAAATGAGAGGATTCGTGAGCACGCAATTTCAGCACTGTGGTGAGTAGATTCTAACTTAATAACCTCTGATTGGCCATTGCGTTCTAGAAAAAAAAACAGCTGAGTCTGTGATTGGCTACATTGCGCTACCCTTTAAACACGTGTTATAAATAGAAACTATGCCTAGCTTGCGCATATCAATCATTTTAATGTTAATATTAGTTGTTCTTTTTGCTTTTGTACAACAGATAAATAACAATTTATATGTTTTAGACACTTTATATTTAGATAATTTCTATTTTGCTGGAGTCCCGCGAATCATTTTATTCTCCCGCATCCCGCACACACACGAGTCTCTTCCCACCCGCACTCGCCCATCAAAAGTTGTCCCGCGCCGCACCCTGTTGCGTTGGGTCCCGCGGGAGTGCAGGTCTCTAGTTCAGACCTGACTGCGCAGAACTAGACCCAATCAATCGATCTCAAAGCCGCGGTTTCATTACCAATTAATTACAGTGCAAAATTGAGTACTGGATCAATGGCAGACAAAGGAAGTCTATTTTTAGACAGCGGTTGTAAAAACTGTTGACAGCCTGTGGATGGTTTTGATGGATGACGTGAACGCTGCATGTTTGTAACACACACAGAACCGGTGACGTCTGTAACCCCTTTAATATCATCTTTATTCCATACTGATCCGCCTCATGTTAAAAATAATTAATTTTTAGATCATATTTAATAAATATCTTGTTCTTTTATTGGTCACACATTAGTGGAAATGTTTCTTTTTCCTGACTCTGAAAGTATGTGCACAATAAAACAATGTCAGTCTGTTCATTTGTGTGTTTGAAGTGCAGGCAGAATGAGAAACTGACTAAAAGAAAGTGAAACGTTGTAAATATTTTATTCTGGAAACTGGATCCATGTTCTCCTACAGTTTTCTGAAGACAAGGCATTTGTTACTCTCAGACATCTCGATCTGTTGAATAACACACCAGACAGAGGTTATCAATGCTGGTTTCAAACACGAAACTTAAGAATGTCCTGTCACATTTCATCTCTAAATCATAAGATAGACGTGAGGAATTATATTTTGCTTAAAGAAAATGAAGCCTGTATTTAAGACCATTAAGATTTAGAGCTTCGTGTCTTTTTTTAATGATAATTTAGCAATTAAAACCTCCCAAATCCTCATTTCTGTTACACAAAAACTTGGATTGCAGTGTGAATTCAGTGAATTAATACAGTGGGAATTTTAAATATGCATGTTATGATTGTAATATATTCTTATTTAAATAACAAAGAAAAATGAGAGAATGAGAATTACAAACAAATTGATAATAATAAAGTAAAACATTATGGTAATCGGAATTATGGGACAAAATATGCTTAATTGTTGTATGATGTCATGATGCTAAAAATCAAAATGGTTCTAAAATTTAAATTCTAAAATGGTTCTCATTTTATTTTGCGTACCTTGTCAGTGTCGTGCGCTTTGCTTGGCCATTTGTTGGGATAAACAGGAAAGTGTGTCCAGCTGAATTCAATTTGAGTTTTGTTAAACGAATTAAAAAGAAGCTTAGTTTACCGCGGAAGCGGTCGCGGCTGCGGTCGTGTGAAGACCGAAGAGTGTAAAGACCATCGACTCTACCATGCGACTCCACCGGGCAGGGACACCGACAAAGGACATAAGTATCACTGTTTATCTCTCCTCTTTCCACCTCTGTTTCAG